ATTAATATTGACAATTTATATATGTATAATAGAAAAAGCATATATTCCACAAAAATAACTTTATTTATTGTATAATATTATTAATTAAATTATAAATCAAATAATATTAAATTATAATAAATAAATTAAAATTATTAAATGTTCTATGACCGAATTTATACAATATTTGTGACATAAATATTGCAAACCGGGATGAAGATTGGAAAATTTTAAAGTTTTTGAAGTTTTTCCACAGTAAACATTACACAAATTTATTGAATTACAATATATAATCCATCTCTAATTCTTCTACTTTAGACATAAAATACTATTTTATAAATTAAATAACATTTTTTATTTTTTCAAATGTGCTCTGATCCAATTTATGAAACTGGAAACTCTTGTGTAAACGTCTGGAGTTCCGTCAACCTTGCAGGGATTACCAAAAGAAACGATTCCAATTTGAACTTCATTAACTACCAATGGTCCACCAGCATCACTCTGGAATAAAGATGCAATTAATAATAAAAATATTTATATAGTAAGAAATTGTTTACTGCAAATGATAATTATAATCATTTTAGAGTTAAGATGAAAGTCATATAAAGAATAATAATCATATAAAGAAAAGACGATTAAACTCAATAATATAATTTTTAAACTATAATAATATATTTTGTTAATATTTAACATTATTTGTTATTTTATTGTTATCAAAAACATGTATCGATTTGTTTTATAATGTGATATTAATAATCAATGGCTTACGTGGCATGCTCCTTCTCCTGCTTTAGTTAAAGTGCAGATATGGCTATCTGTCACTTTCGGTTGTGCTATCTTGCATTCTCCTTGTGGATAAATTGTTAACTCAATTTCTTGCAAGTTATTTGGAGTACGTCCATCAACCTAAAAAAGATTGCATTGTTACACTGATAATCAAAGCAATTTTCATGAGACTTAATAAGCGAATTATAATAAGAGAATTAATAAGCGAATTATTATTATCAAAATGTTTTCTTATTCATTACTTTTAAAAATTATTATACATATATAAAGAAAAAATAATTAGTTTGTCTAAAAGAAAATGTCTGATTCTTAGATATGTATAACTGAAAAATTTCTGTATCATGAGTTCAATATTACCGTAGTTCCCCAACCAGATAATGTACACGGTTTGCCCTCGAGTTCGTTATCAGATGTCATAAGATTTATCGGTTGCACTAATCTGTTGTACGTGATAGGATTTTTAAGATGAATCAAAGCGATGTCATTATTGATTGAATTCTCGTTGTATTGAGAGTTGACGCTTACATTTTCCACATCATGAACTGCTCCTGGTATATCCAAAAAATTTGTGCCGGCATGGACCTTTAGATAATCCAGATCATATTGATTCAAACTAAGAATAAAAAATGTATATATAATATTCGGATATTCAGAGGTGTTGAAAACAGATGTCGAAAATGTTTGCTATAAATTTTATAAGTAGAATGTTAACAGAAATAATGTAAGGTATTAATTATAAATCATTCTTAAAATAAAAATTTTATCTAAAAAAAATATCAAACAAATAATGATGCATTTTACGATTATAATTAATGATAAAGAATACTTTGCTGATTAAAATGTTAAAAGACTAATTTTAAAATTAAATTCTACTAAATATATATTTTTACAAATTCAAAATATTTAACTTACCGTTTAACACAATATCCTGCGGTTAATATGTTATATTTATTAAGAATAGATCCACCACACATGTGTTCGCCATTGAATTTCAATGACACTTGATACGGAAATTTGCCAATTGAGGCATCCTCCCCTCCGACGATATGAGGAGCTCCTTATTAATAAAAATTAATTAATCATGTTAATATATACGTGTTAATAAAAATAATTGATTATGTTAATATGCACACACACACACACACACACACACACACACACACATATCTTTATGAAATAACAATTAAACATTCAATTTGGCTAATGAGTTGTTCGGGTAAATTTATTAAAAATAAAATTCTTTTGTTTACCATTAGTTTTATTAATCGCGATAATAATTTAAACATTAAAATACGTATTTTGAGAATATCGGGATATGCATGTTATTCTTCTAAATTAGTTTATACAATCATATATAATTAATCAATAGTGAAACTATTAATAAGTATCAGAAATGAATAAAAGTATTTTATACATGTAATTTTTTTTCTAGAAAATTGTATAGTTTTTATAAATATAAAGTACAGCAATATTTACAGAATCTATGAATTATTAAAAGGACACTTTAGTTATTATTAAGAACTTTGTGTGTATATGGTAAGTTAAAGTGTGACAAACGTATATCTCAGAAACAAAACGTTTTACAGAATAATATTTCACAAAAGTTGTTTGATTTCGACTGATGCATAATTGTATCATTGGTTTAACCTTAAATGGCGTCAAGTTCAGGAAAAGAGGTCACTTTAAATTTTTTAAAAATAACTCTTCATTTTGTTGCCATATTATAAAAGACATTTTTAAAAATATATATATCTAAAAAAATATTTAAGAAATATTATAAAAATGTCTTTAAACAATATACATTATCTAAATCTCTCTTTCTCTTTTTTGCATTATATTAAAATATTTATAATTTATGAATTCTTACCTTCAGTGCCGTATACCAGAGCGGTAAATATAAGACAAACTAACGCACGCATCTTGCTGATTTGTTACTTGGGATTAAAATAAAGAGGTACATTTACAGGTTATATATGTTACTGAAGTAGTTAAAATCTTGAATCAAAGATATAAATCACGTGTTTATGACGCTTTTCTGAATTTTTTCAGTATTGCACTATATATAAATATTATTTGTAGTTTACATTATGCACTTGTTGATTGATAACGATAATAGTTTTAATTAAATTTGTAATTTTCACCATCTTCACTTTTCTTAGAAGAATGGGAATTCACGTTTATCTGATATTGTATAAAACCTCATCATAGTTATTTTATTTTTATATCGATTAAATATCTAATTTTTTTACGATGTTATCAATAGATCGCATATCACGTTTTTAGTAGCTTAGTTAATTAATATCTTATAATGTAAAAATTATACATTCGCCTAATCAAATTGAACGAATTTTTATACAATAAATAAAAAAAAATGAGAATATAGATAACAGACTCAAATAATTTAAAATTAAAATAATAAGCAATTAAAAGGATTATGAGCCAAGTTGGATTTGTTGCTAAAATATTAACTTTGATCTGTTGATATTATTTAGTACACAAATGTGTTGCGATTTGTTATCAAGACATTCTTCAATGTGACAAATTAAAATATTTACATCAGTACATATATTATAATTCATATCAGGCCATAAATTTTATTAAACTAAAGTTTTAAAATATTGAGACCAGAATTAAGAAAATGTTATCACTTAACATAAAATGAGTTTTAAAATAAAAAATTTTAGTAACACAAATCAGTACTTTATCTGGTTTTATCTTATTATTCGATAATATGTTTTTGGATAATCCTTGAAAAAGAATACTCTAGTGAATATATCGGTCCAACTGACAGTACATGTTATACCAAAAGAAACAATACCAATATGAACACCATTAAAAACAAGAGGACCACTCGAATTCCCTTGAAAATTTAATAAATACAACTTTTAATTATTTATTATAAATCCAAATTTTATTTAATTCATGTCTTACACTTAATTATCGTTAAATGTCCGTAAAATTCTGATATTATTTATCCTAATCTTATATTTTAAATTTTTACTTTCTTAGGTTATATTTAATAATATTAGGTGTTGGAATTAATTCGTAGCGTTTTACAAGTGATGGGAAGTACTTTCATTAATGTATTTTTTAATGCTCATGTGAAATAAATAACATTCTTTCATTAAAAAACGCTACGAATTAATTCCAACACCTAATATATAAATTTAATAAATAATTTTGAAATTTATAACTTTATGTATCGCTTATAAATAAAGTCACAAATTAATATTATCTTTTATTAGATGTTTTTAATGTAAACCGTGTGCTTTAGGACGGTCTATTTGATTTTACGGTTGCTTCGAAGCATTTTTTGATTGATCAATTAATAAAATTCTTTCTTCTGATTGGTCAATCAAAAGCTTTGAAGCATTTGTAGCGTCAAATCGCACCGTCATGCTCTTTCACGCATTGGAGACTTAGGATTGCACACACAAATTGAGGATTAGAATTCAGCCAATTAGAACGAAATGAATTAAAATTAATTATTACTACCTAATTGGTCGAATTCTAATCCTAATTGGTCTTAATTCGCAATCCTCAATCTTCATGCGTAGTGTAACACGGGCATTAATGAGTCTCATAAACTCATTTCAAAGTAAAATTATGAACCTGTGTTGACATGCGATAACTTTTTACCAAAGCAAGTAGACGTCAATAGCTGCGTTCAGCAGAGAAAATTAATTAGTTAGCGCTTAGTGATTCTTTAATACGATTGGTTCTTGCTTTTAGTTCTTCGCTAAATTTAGTGTAGGAACCAATCGTATTAAAGAATTATTAAGCGCTAACTGATTAGTTTTCTTTGTTAAACGCCATTAACACCATTAATGCCATTTTTAGCCTTTAATTTGAGTGTAAGATATTTAGCTCACTTCAGACTTAGTTTCACTTGTGTGTAAATGGAAAACAACTATTGCTTCTCTTCTTCTTCTTCTTCTCTCTCTCTCTCTCTCTCTCTCTCTCTCTCTTTCTCTTTCTCTCTCTCTCACTTATTTTCTCCATAAAATATTTATAATACCTTATAAAAATTTGTATATTTAGTGGTATATGCCATAGCAATAAATATAAAACAAGCGAATGGACGTACTTTTGATTGTAAATTTGTTGCCTGAGTTTGAAGTGATGCATTCATAAGTTTATATTTACTTCTGATATAATTCCAACAAAGATATAAATCATGTTTTTGTCACATTTTTCTAAATTTTTCCCAATGCAATATCATTGCACGATAAAATATTATTTATAGTTTACGTTATAACTTATTAAAAGTGGTAGTCTTAATAAAATTCTTAGTTTTCACTGTCATAACTTTTCTTAGAATAAACAAAAGAATAAGGACATATTTCCGTTCATCTTTGATGAAGTATATAATCTGTGGTAGATTTATTTTTATCGATTATTATATCTATATTCGAGTTTATGATATCGTCAATAGATTGTGTGTCACGTGTTCAGAAATCAACAAAAACCTTGAAAAATCATAAATCTAGGTGGTGAAAGTTCAACGAATTTATAATAAATTTATAATCACAAATAAAGAAAGAAACTTTGTAAATAAAAAATAAATTAAATAATAAAAATAATAAAATCTTGAATAAGCATGAATAAAGTTATATATATATATATGCTAGAATAAATATTATATTTAAATATTGAATATATAATTTGTATTGTATAACATTTGTACTGTATAACATTTTAACTATCATACACATCTAAAAGTAGTGTGAATTTTTGCGAAAGTTCTATCGTTCATTTACAAATATCATCTTTATTTACCAGATTAGAAGTATACAGATATTGTATTAACAATGTAAATGCAAAATATGTAATTCGGAATTTTATTCGTATAAGACAACTTACTGTAAATTACCCATAAATATTTATGCGTCATGTCTATTTTAATTTTTGAAATTTATAATATTTATAATCATCTATTTTTTTGTTTTTTTTACTAAATTTCTTTTTATTTTTAATAATTCATGTTTCAAAAAATTTTTCTTCTAAATTTGTCAAATTCATTTAACAGTATCATGCAGATTTATCTCAATTTTGTATTAGGTGTTGGAATTAATTTGTAGCGTTTTTTAATGAAAGAATGTTATTTATTTCACATGAGCATTAAAAAATACATTAATGAAAGTACTTCCCATCACTTGTAAAACGCTACGAATTAATTCCAACACCTAATATAATATTTAATATAAATAAAATGATATTATTTATTGCGAATAACTGCGATAAAAGAGAATCTTAGAATAAAAAAATAACTTTGATGATTGTTATTGTTCTGTTATTTACATTGATAATTTATTTAATTGAAAAAAAGAGCATACATTTTACAGAAATAATTTGTTTAAACTATACTATTACTGTTACTTTGAATTATAAATTTCGTAACATCAAATAATAATAAATGGTAATAAACAAATTAAATATCTCTTAAATCTCTCTTAAATTCTTCAAATTTGCTTTGATCCAAGGCAGGAAACTGGACACTTTTGTGTAAATATCTGGCTCTCCAGAACAGGGGGAGGAAGCGATTCCAATTTGAACTCCATTAGCGATCAAAGGTGCACCAAGATCAATCTAGAATGAAAATGAAATTAATATGAAAATACTGATATGTAAAATGATATATAAAACTATTATACACGGTAGTAATTAATTACTTATTATTGCAAATTATTATTATAATTATTTTAACGGAAATAATTTAATTGGCATGTAATTAGGTCACTATTTAATATTATACTATTTTATAATAAATGAAAGAATAAAGGGCTACGAGCATAAAAGTCAAACAACAAATAACAATCTAAATTAAATGGTTAAAAATAAAATAAAAACAATGTCATGGAATTAAAAAAAACATAAAATATAATTTAAAAATCAGTAAGTGAACAAGAACAAACGTTTCGATTCCTGTTGGATCATTTTCAATGTAAAGACAAAATAAAAATGGATATAACGCAGATAAAATATGTATAAATTAAAAAAATTTCGCATAAGAACGCAATATCAACTATAAAACTCGTTCCAAATTGAGAGAAAACCAAATAAACGCTTTTTTTATTAATAAATATATACAATAATATTTGCTTTTTATATTGTTATTCTTAATGTCTAGCGTTTCGATTTTTAAAAAATTTTATATAATATTCATTTTATTTCTGTGAGATGTTTTATGCAATATTTATGTAATAAACACGTAACAAAATGATATAGAATGGCACCAAAGGTTAGAATTATTTATATTATTAATCTGTAGATGTTTATAAAAAATATATATAATTAATTTTTATCATATTAATAATAGACGCTCACCTTGTATTCATTCGTTCTGTTTTGAGCTTTAGTGCAGATATGGCTATTAGTCAGTTCCCAATGATTTTTCGCGCATTCTTTTTGCTTATCAACTATCAACTCAGTTTGTTGCAAGTTTTCATTCTAGAAAGGATAATTGCATTAATTGTTACATCGAGCATCGAACAATAAACAGCAGCAGAATTATTATTGTTAAAATATCTTCTTACACTTCTAATTTCTTGTTACATTTATATAAAAGAAAATAATAAATTATTTAAGAAAGAGTTCTTTCCTGAATACGTATAATTGGAAAATTTTTGTATCATAAGTTTAACATTACTGTTACATTTGTCCATCCGGATAACGTGCACGGCTTGCATTCGAAATTTATATTGGATTTTGGAAGATTTATCGGATACACTAGTACGTTGCGTTCTTTGATAGGATCGCTAAGGTGAATCAAGGCGATATCATTAAAGCATAATAATTCGTCGTAATTTTGGTGGACATTAATACTTTCTACGTTATGACTATATCCTGCATTGTTTAAAGAGTTTGTGCCGACATGGATAATTATTTCATCCGTTGAACACTTCAACCTAAGAATAAAAAAATATATAAAAATATTAAAAATCCATGTCTATTAAGAACAAATTTTGAAATTTATTATGTATTTTATCAATTGAAATATCAACAGAAATATAACAGAAGCTGTTAATATGATAGAAGACTGATTGCAGAAATTAAACACGTTTAAATGACGTATTCCATTTAAATGTTAAGGAAATAAAATATTCTCTCTCTCTCTCTCTCTCTCTCTCTCTCTTTTCCCCCTCTCTCTCTCTCTCTGTTCGGTTTCTGCTATCAACTTCTAATTTGTTTTCAAATTATATCGTGAAGTTCTGCCAGCAAAAAAAGTTGAATGAATACTTAAATGATTTTGAATTTGTTGTAATATCTAAGCAAATCTATCAATTTGTAATCAGTAGATTTGTTTAGATATTACATCTGCTGGCAGTTGCTTGAATACGTACACATTTCATACACTATGTCTATTTAATACCTTCAAATTAGATTTACATTCCAAAAATAAAGTATATTGATAAAAATTCAACATACCCAACAACACATTTTGCTGAAGTTAACACATTAAAATCATCAAGAATAGATCCACTGCATATGTGTGTGCCATTTTTTCTTATTGATACTTGATATCTAAATTTGCCGATAGGAGCTACATCTTTAATGTCAATAGGAGTATCCTCACTTATAATAAAAGATGGAGCTCCTTATTAACAAAAATAAATTAATTATATTAATACATATGTCAAATAATATCTGTTACACTATTACAGTAATTTTCCAGTAAAAGATATAAATCGATTGTCTCTCACCGAATATTGAATAAAGTTAGAATAACTCTTGTGTTGATTTATGTCTTTTCTTGGAAAACATCTTATATACATTAATTTTAGTAATTAAACATCGTGTTTATTTTATACCTAAATAAGTTGTTTAGTGAAATTACAGTTTTATTTAGAATATAATTTTTTTAGATCTAGCAAAAGCTTTACTGTTTATTTCACATTAATTTTTATTAAACTACACATTTAAAATTTTAAAAATGCAAAAAGATGTACACATACTTTACGTTGACATAATTAATTATAATTAATTAGTTTGTTTATTCATGATATTAACTAATACAGTGCTGGAATTTACTGCCGATTGACATTTAAACGCAGAGTAGTGAGATAAGGGAATCAAAAAAGTGTCTGAAAGTTGCAAATCAATTACAGCAATTGAGCTAATACATGTACCGCTTGTTGCATCAACATATTGATCAATATGTCAGATTGTCTTCTGTAACAGACACGTAGTTGATCGATTACGTTTATAAAATTGATTAATCTATTATATTTTATAAATGTTATGTTTGCTAGAAAAATCATTACATTATATTATTATATAATACATTTATATAATACATTTATATATACAATAATCCAATGACATGTTGACCAATATATTGATGCTACGTCCAGCATATGTTATCGGATATGTTTAATTCTCTTTCTTCCATTCTTTCTTTCTCTCTCTCTCTTTCTCATTTTCTTTGTCACATAAAGTAATTATAATGACTTATAAAGTATATGGAAATAATATTTCCAGTGAATGAAAGTAATTAATTATTGTAACAGCGTTATTTAATTAGTTACTTAGTTGCCTTGTAATAACGATTTGGTAATAACATTGCGAATGGTTTTATGTTGATAATAGATCTGTTTTTTATTCCTGCACTCTCTGAATTGGCGCATACAGTGCAATAAGTTAAAGTAAAACAAACATATATTTATTTCACTTTACTTATTGTACCATACGCATCAGTTCAGACAATGTAGGAATAAAAAACAGACCTCATATAACAGCAGAGTTGAAACAGTTAATAGTTATTTATCACGGATTAAAAAAAAAGTCATTTATCACTGAAAAAGATAACTCCCAATTTGTAACACTCGTTCTTTTTAATGTAATTTGTAACGGAGTAACTTTACGATATTACTAGTTACTTGTTATTTTTTCCAATAATAAGTAATAAGTTCCAGTGAGTAATGCGTAATGTTGAGAATTTATTTTTCGAAGTGACTTTTCTTAGTGTAACTTTAGCTTTAGTTAGTCATTATTACAAATATAAAAAATTATAACATTATTATGAAAAATTGTTACTGTAAAACGTAACTGTAAAAGTAATAGAAAAATAATTCTTATATTTACTGATAAATTCATACCTTTAGTGGCGTATGCCACAGCGACAAATATAAGACAAGCGAACACACGCATCTTTGGTTGCAGATTTGTTGCCTGATATTGAAGCGAATAAATGCATTCAAAGGTTTATATATGTTCCTGAAGTAGTTGCAACAAAGGTATAAATCTTCCGTTTGTGAAGTTTTCCAGAAATTTTCTCAGTATCAAATGATAAAGTTTTTTACTACTATTATCTGATACACGTATCATAAATTACATTTTAATCTCGTTAAATGTTGTCTCACTCTTCATAAATGTGCCGATTGAGTTAGCATTGGAAAGTATTAGTAGATAGTCGGACATTTCTAAGGATTGCAATATCTCAAAAGATGAATTTATTACTATTCTTCGACTTGTTCTAAACTCGATATTTTTCTAGTTTGATAATGATATATACAAGTAAACTTTTTTTATTTGCCAATAGGTTTTTTCTTATCTTTAGAGATTACTGACTTAGTTTTGTAAGAGCTCTTAAAACGTTGAGATTTTCATTTCCGTTTTACGTCAGATAGTGCAAATATTACTACAGCTGTTCTTTCTAATATGACTGAGATTCTTAATATATTTAACTGGTTTCTCCTAAGACTTTAATTTATGGTTGAGATCGGAAGCAGTGTTTTAAATTGTTTGGACATTAATATTATTAACAATGACAATACCCTAGAATTTAATTGATTTCACGAATCAACTTTCTCAGGGAAATATCTAAATTTTATGTCTTCGTTTTGGTTTAAAAAAAAAGGGAGATTATCATGTCGGAATAATTGACAGAGTCTTTTTTTTCGCATCTGAAATTCCACACATAATAAAAATATTATAATAATTTTATTATTGAAAAGTTACTAAATAATGTCTATTTTTTAGAATTCATATTTGACTATCACTGTTAAATCTTTTTGTTATAAAAAAAACTGTAAAACAAATTTAAAAACAAAATATTGATATGAATTCGGCCACGGAGGAAAAAGAAAATTATTCTTAAGTTTAGGTTTAAGCGGCAAAACTTAAGCAGTAAAACGTAATCAGTAAGCAAATTGACCAATCACGGTAGAGTCCGTAAGGTTATAATGTAAGCAGTAATCAATACATGTTGATTTCCTTACTGCTTATGTCTTACTGCCTTAAGTTTTTTGTGTGTCATGGCTTTTACTATTCTATATATTCAGAATGTTTCTGAAAATTTAGGAATATAATATAATATGGAATTTGAATGTGAAATTAGAGTTTTATAGTTTTAACAAAGCAGGTTTATTAAAGTTCACAAAGATGTGCTCCCAAATAATTCAAAGAAAAATGTGATATATGAAATTTCATGTAGTGATTGTAATGCAACTTATGTGGATCAAATGAAGAGGAAATTACTATCAGAATTTCAGAACATATTAAATTTCAGGAACCACATCTATAGAAATACTATCTCCCAATCGGAAATTACGGATCATAGATTATATTAGAATCACAAATTTGATTAGTCGAATGTGAAAATTTCTCTGAAAGATTTTTGAATAAACATGTGATGTCCGAAGTGATATTTATTAAATTACAAACAAACAGTCTAAATTTACAATCAGACGCTAACTGTTTTAATCATGAATATGTAGATATACTTATTATTAAATTATAAATTTTAAGTGTTTGCGTATTTTAAAGTCTCGTCTTTCAGGTGAGACTTTCAACTTTGGCTGGCATTATTTCATATTTTAATTCTTAATACTTTTTGAGCATGATTTACACAGGGCGACTTTTATTCGCTAGAAGCTGCGTCTAGTGACGTATATCATAGCGAATTTACTACTAAAAACTTCTTCTAGACGTGTGTAAATTACGCTGTAGGCGATTGCAAATTTCTGTGAATTATGGGCATTGGACCACGACGAAACAAAATTATACAGTTGAATGGGGATTTGTCTGGTAGACGAGAGTGCGAAGATTTTTTTTTTCTAATACTTGTACTTCACTGAAGATGTGTATGACCTCAAATGTGGCCTCAAAACATTTAAATTGTATAGCAAATCAAATATAATTTATTTATGAATTTATGTAAGTTTTGCTTATTATATTTACTCTTATTTGCCTGATTTTCGACAATTGTTACTTATATTTTACATTTTTCTTATTAAATCATAAAAGTATAATAATAATTCTAATTAAATTTGCAGTTTTCGCTAACATCTTTTTTTAAAACAATTAGGATTTATTGGATTATCTGATAAAGTACACATAGTCATAATTGATTTGTGTTTATCGATTACTATATCCGATAGTTTACGATATTAGAGAGTTTTTGCAAGAACGTTAATCCAGATATGGTGAACGCTAAAGTTATTCTTTTCTTAATTAGTTGTTAAGAAAAAGAACTTGACCTTAGCGTTCACCGTATCTGGATAAACAGTAATGCAAAAAATCTCTATTGTTAAAGTAAAGTATTACACGTTTAGAAAAGTCAACATGAATTTTATAATATAAAGAGTTACAAATCTGTTTACAAATCTACAGATAAATAAATTTATAAATAAAAATTAAGAATAGAGAATTTATTTGTAAATAAGAAATAAATAGAATAAAATAAATAAGAAATAAATAAATAAAAGTTTAATAATATCTCAATATAAAATTTGCAATATAAAATTATTTGCAAGAATGAATACCGTATTTAAATCATGAATATTATATTTAGTACTTTGACTACTTTGTCACTCATGTTTGAGTAACACGTAAATTTTTATATGGTTTTTGTTATCAATTCCTATGATCACTTTATTAATTTGATTAGAAATGATTTTATTAAGTTTTTATAAAAATATTAAAATATATATTATTAAATTAGTGTATTAGGTTTATTAAAGACATAATTATTTGTTTTTTTATTTTTTTTCTTTATATTATATTTATTTGTTTCACTCTCAAAACGTTCCATTATTTCAGAATGATAGTTTTATTTGTATATATTTTTTTAAAAATAAATACTTTTAAAAAAATATAATAATATAAGTAATAAATAATAAATGTTGATATATAATATATATTTTTACATTTATTGTGATTTTTTTATTGTGATAAATATATTTTTAGTATATATATATATATATATATATATAGATATTTCGTAATTTGACTTCGCATGTTTTGTAAACATTCGGATACTTTTCGGTTTTGTGCTACTCAAAGAGATAATTTACATTGAAATCAGTTTGTTGTCAAAGCATTATTTGTTTTATTTAAGCAATGTGTTCATTAATAATTATCGCATTTAAATAAAAATATTGTTAAGTTAAAGAAAAACGCATAAAAATAATTTTTCAATTTTTAATTATAAATTTATACACTGAGTAATTATCAAAAAATTATTTCAAAATTCTTTCTCATTCTCTTTCTTATAGGCACACATCATTATTATTTATCATGTTATAATTGTTTTATGAAATAAATTTATGCAATATTTGTGAAATAAAGAATATTAATACATTTAAATAATTGTATGTGTATAAAATATATCTTAATATTATTTCACTTAATATTGCTGAAGATATATTTTGTTGTCCTATTATTCGACACTATGTTTTTTAATCCATTTTGTGAAAGAGGTCACTCTAGTGTGTACATCGGGTCGTCCTCGAGCACATGGTGTACCAAAAGAGACAATACCAATCTGAAAACCATTAGAAACAAGAGGACTACCGGAATCTCCCTGAAAATTTAATAGAGATAACGCTTAATTATTTATTATTAATCGAGCTTTTATTTAATTTAATTCACGCCTCACATTTAATTATGAAAAAATTCTGATATTATTACTTATATATTTAATCTTATATTGCAGATGTTTTTTTTTCTGAGATATTTATATTTATTAATATATATTGTAGATTTAATAGATAACTTTGAAATTTATAATTTTATGTATTTTGTATAAATAAAATCGCAAATTATAATAATATTTTCTATTAGATATTTTTGGTGTTTATATCTTAGAATCTAAAATCTCTACATGCATATGCATTAAAGAGATAAATAACGAGGAATACTATCTTCTTATTATATTTTTATGCAGCGATATTTGAAATAATAAAAAGTAATACTTACGTGACACGCGCCTTCGCCTATTCTGGTGAGTGTGCAAATGTGACTAAATTGTACCCTTCTCTGACTTTGATGGCATTTATCTTGGTCATATACATTTAACTCAATCTCTTGTAACTTGTCAGGAATTATACCACCAAGCTAAGAATAAATAAAAAATTTTTTGTAAATTCAAGCACTAATATTTTTGTATATCCAACATTAGTTTATTTGTTCGTATGTGTGTGCATTTATTGAATTTCTCTATTAATTTAAAATAAATGAAGAATTTGAAATTTACAAGATAAATAACTTGAGTTATTATCATGTAGTTTTATATTTTTTATGCGTATGTAAGTAATTTTAAGAACTTTTTCCACTTATTGTGAACTATATTTAATCATAATAAAAAAATAATATTTATAGTAATTATTTCTTATTATTTTTATAGCACAGGTCTTTAATCGATACCTTAAAGATAGATTGGAAGATATTGCTACGTTTTAAAGATATTTTCGAGACATCCACTAAAGTGTGCTATGTGGGTTAATTTAAAGTAGTGCCAATTTTTTAACAGAAATTTTTATATTTTACTAACTTTTTAAAAAATATTTGATTTGTATTAAAGTTAAGAATGCATTTGTTACATAGAATAATGATTGTTTGATGTTTACCTCAATTCTTCCCCATCCAGCTAAGATGCAGTAAGAGCCAGGAGCAACATTGGTAGTTGCAAGTGATATAGGCTGTATATATTTGGTATATTCAATTGGAGTCGACAGAATAAGTAAACCGATGTCATTGATTATTCTAATACTATCGAAAGTCTCGTGAATAATAGCTTGTTTAGCTTTGTAGACGGTACCATTTTCGCTTAGCAGATTTGTGCCGGCGTGAATAGTTAACGATTTGAGAGCACTGGGATTCATGCGGTAGCTGTTAAAAATATTTTAGTCGATTACTTCTCAAATGATTTTAAAGAAGAGAAGATCCCGTTTGCCTACAAATAGATTGCCTACAGCATCATTTGCCTACATCACTTTTACCACAGTTCGTTTGCGCACAAAAATTATTGCCTACTCAATTGCCTACATGCATTTTTGTGCACAAGTACAAATTTCAAAAACGAAGTCACATTTGCCTACGTGTATTATTGCCTACACGAATTATTATCTATAGATCTTTTATTTGTGCTTTTATTTGTGCACAAAAGTGCATGCAGGCAACTGAACTGTAGGCAATAATTTTTATGAGCAAATGAACTGTCGGCAAAAATAATGTAGGCAAACGGTATGCTGTAGATAATCGACTTGTAAGTAATCGACGTGCAAAAGGAACCACCTCATTTTAAATATTGTTCTCTTAGAATGACAAATATAATTATATCCTGTTCATAGATGCATATATGAATAATATAAAAAAACAATAAAGAATGTACATTACTAAACAATGACCGGCAGTAAGAATGGTATTATGATTGATGATGGATCCACCACAGAAATGACGTCCGGATTTTCTCAGAGATACTTGGTACGGGAACTTGCCAACCGGCGCGTCCCTTCCACCAACAATGTGAGTGTCTGGAAAGCCTGTAACATGCAATGAAACAGAATGTAAAACAAAATATAAATTAGATTTAAGATAAAACGTTTAAACTTTTAACAAACAAATATTATAATAGACTATTCTGTCCATGAACGATTACTATTAACATATAATGTAATGCTACATTTTTTAATGATATCTGAAAAATATAAATAATTTAATTATTTATTGAATCATTATAAAAATGTCAGTAAATATTAGAAATATTGTTTAGCAATTATTATTTTAAAATCATTCGGGTCTATTTTTGACATTTCTATATTAAAATGTAGCTAATAATTTTATTTAAATGATATTATTTAAAAGATAACAGATTTCTTATAAAGTAATATATAAATTTTGTAGTTTTACTTTAATCATCAAAAATATAAAAGATTTAAACTTTGTATAATTTCACCTTTTTTAATTGACAGTTTGTAAAGTAAAGAAAATTGATTTGAATAATAAGAATTAATCTTATACATTTTTGCTTACCATGGGCGGTTATCGCTAAACAAGCGACTGTCAAAGTAAAGAACGTATACATATTGAAAGTACGCATAATACTGATAATAATAAATCTTCTTTGTACGTTTATATAGGCCATTTTAAGCACTTCTAAAAATATATGATACAAAAAATGAATTAATCTGTTTAATCATGATTTAATCATGAACTCTTTTGAAATGATTTCGATAATCATCAACTTATATTAAGCGTTAAACGTGTGATCGAATTTTGTTCAAAGATCTTTATCTTTCAAGATAATTTATTCTGAAATTTTTATCTACAGTACGTGAAGTAATCGGCTCAATGATACAGAAATTGCGACATAAAACGTTCAATCAACTATAAATTTACACAATGTATTAATAGTACATATAAAATATCTCGTATATCTTCTTTATATTGCTGTAATATAAAGTTCATATTTCATAAATTAAAAATTACCAAAAAATCCTTTAGCAAAGCTAGCAAATAAGTTGTGAGATATAAATAATTGGTAAAATGTGCTGCTTTAGAATATTTGTAAAAATTTATATATTATAAATACTTATAATTTTAAAAACGTACGTAGAATTTAATATATGTATTTCATCCCAAATGATCAACTCAAATTTTTATGTTAATTTAATACCCATAAAGTAAAAATGTCCGAAATATATCAGACAGATATTCTAAAGATATCATATATATCTTTAAGATATCTGTATGATGTGCATTTTGGACATATCTGTGTAAGTATCAAGCTGAATATATATGTTAGAAAGTAATACATTATTATGTTAAAGAAATTAACAAAAAAATGTAACTTTGATACAAATTATAAATAAACTAACACAAATTGGAAGCATATTTTCAATAAAATTAACATTTATAATATATTAAATTAACATATATATTAGGTGTTGGAATTAATTCGTAGCGTTTTACAAGTGATGGGAAGTACTTTCATTAATGTATTTTTTAATGCTCATGTGAAATAAATAACATTCTTTCATTAAAAAACGCTACGAATTAATTCCAACACCTAATATTATTCATTTATCTTAAAATTCACGTTTTAATATACATTATTTTCGTATTTTTTTATTTATTTATAAATTATGTTATTTTGATACTAAAAAATATTAAATATTAATTTAGTATAATACATTAAAATATATCACATAAACATATTATATTATATTAAACACATTCGTATTATGTTAAAAATTTAATACAAAATTTTAATGATTTGAGGGGATCGATTTTAACATAAATACAAAATGTATTTACTACAAATATATTAAATATTATTTCATCAAGTACTATTTCACTTTGTAATTTAAGAATTTTAATATTTTAAAAAATAATTTATTAAAAATTTAAATTGTATTTTATTGATACACATGTTTTTCTTATATGTGGATTATGTAGTGTCATATACCTATACAACACAGAAAAGCAATATTGCTGCAATATTGCAGACTGCAATGTAACATTGCAGAGATATTAGAGAAATATAAATTAACAATATACTTGCAAAATATCAGTAATATGTCTGTAATATTCCAAAAACATTGCAAAAACATTGCAAAACACTGTAATTCTTTAATTGTTACAATAATAATAATATAAAAATATAATTTTTTACAATATTTATATAGTACAGTCTTTTAGTTTAACATTTTTATGATATAATAATTAATATAATCTATTTTTATATTTAA